AATTTTTACTGTGTAATGTTGATCATTTCTTTTTGTATTGCTGCGCCTTAATTAATGAAAATGTTGACTCTACAACGCTTAAGATTTCTGTACCAACAGAAATTTCCATTGCCTTACAAAGGAGGTCTTGAAATTCAGAGAACTTGAGTGTTTTAACCATCGTTAATGTCAAGATTTGAGTTACCATAATTTGTTGAGCACCAAAAGTTTCAAATAAATGATATACTCGAGTAGCGCTTCAATGATAATGACTGGTCATCGTTTGACATTGCAGAGTTCATTAGGCAGGTGTAATATCGTCATTAATAAGTTGTCCTAAGAAAAAGGCATTAAGTAAAATTAAGATGCGATTCTTCACTCGTCAAGCTTTCAAGAGCGAACGGTAAGTTCTTTTAACTTTCTCATCTAGGGTCATATCAGAGGTATATGGTCGGATTGGTTCAAACATTACTTCTAAAAGAGGTCTTTGTAGTTCTTGCAATATAAGATCGCTTACAGTTGGGAATTTCATTTTGTTTAATACCTGAACAATTCTACGGTATTTTTATTAGATTTGTAGAGGTAGATCATCAATGATAATCTGTAGTTCCCAATTGGTTCGTTCAAGATAAGGTTTGAGTTGATCAGCATGTGTTGGATTTTTCCTAACTTTTCCGTCAATAGTTCTTAATTTATATGTACCCGGTCATACAATATTATGTATGTAAAAGGGTCCATCAAACTTATCCTTGAATTTGTCACCATGTACGTGTGCTTGTATAACATTAAATAATAGAACATTATCTCTAATTTGATAATCTATTCCCTTATGTGTCTGGTCATAATGTTCCTTTTGCTTTTGTTGTTGCTTTATAATGTTCTGTTGTGCATCTTATCGCCTTTGTTGCAATTGTGTCATGATCAATTGATGATATTGTGCTATGGTTTTTGGTAAATTCTATGTAGTAATAGGGCGTTGCATTTGTAAATCTATTGGTAGTATCGCATGTCGTCTGTATAATAATTCAAAGGGTTCATATTTTGTAGTACCCTGTTGTGCTGTTTGATATGCAAATAAAGCTGAGGCTAAGTAAGTATCCCATTCTCCTTGGTGTTGTATTGCATATTTTGTCAGAATTGTACATAGTGTATGATTGAACTGTTCAGTTAATCCATTTGTTTGTGAATAGTAGGGTGAGGAAAGTCTATGTCAAGTCCCTACTATGTGTAAGAGTGCATTTATTAATTCATTCTAGAAGGAGGTTCCTCTGTCAGTTAATATCTCTTTTGGTGTTCTATGTCGACAAATGATATCTTGGTACATAAACTGAGCTGTAGTTTTTGCAGTACAATCAGGAACAGTAGCTGCTTCAACCCATTTGGTTAAATACTCAGTTGCAACAATTATATAACGATTTCCTTTTGTCGTTCGAGGTAAAGGTCCTACATAGTCAATGCCAACTTGATCGAAAGGTTGTTCCAAAGCAATAGGATGTAAAGGCTCTTATCGTTGGGATGCTCCTTGTCATTGGCAAACATCACATGTTTTTATCCATTCAACAATGGTTTTATACATCTTAGGCCAATAATATTCTCTGGAAATTCTATTAAAAGTAACATCTCTTCCTAAGTGTCCATTAATTGGTTCATTGTGTAAATATTGTAATAAAGTTTCTACTTCTATGACTTTTATTACTTGAAGAGGCTTATCTGATTGTCTTTTATTATATCTATATAAAAATCGGTTGTGTACAAGATAATATTTTGCTTGCTTTTGTATTGATAATTGTTCAGCAGGTGTTGATAATGGGGGATATGTTGATTGGATAAGATAGGAATAAAGGTGGTTATATAAGTCAATATCCATTTTATTTTTAGAGCCGTTGGTCACGCTACTAACGTTTTAGCTTTCACTTTAGTTTTATATATAGTCTTTTTAAATTGAAGGTAACCTTGAGAGAGTGTCAGTGTTTTGATATACTTTTCTTTTTCGATATTTAACGTTATAGGGAAATTCAATTATTCTAATTATCTAGCGCATGAATTTTCGAGGGGGATCAGGTTTGTTGAATAACTATTGCAATGCAGCGTGATCAGTGATAAGATCAAAAGGTTGATGCAGAAGATAAGTTCTAAAATGTTCCATTGCTCAGACAGCGGCTAGACATTCTAATTCTGTGGATGCATAATTTCGTTCTGGACTATTCAGACTTCTACTTGCATAGGCAATTACGTGTTCCTTATTCTGATCGTCCAATTGAGCTAGTATGGCTCCCAAGCCCATGTAAGATCCATCGGTAAATACTAAGAACTTTTTAGAAAAATCAGGATATACGAAGATAGGTGCTATAATTAGACAATTCTTTAAATATTCAAATCCTGATTGTTATGATTCCATCCATTCATAGAAGACATCTTTTCGAAGTAACCAATGTAATGGTGCTGCAATAGTTGAGAAGTTTTGTATAAATCGTCGATAATACGAAACAAGTCCTAAAAATTCACGCAGTTCAATCAGAGTTTTTGGAATTGGAAAATCCCCAATTTTTTCAATTTTGGAAGGGTCTGGCACAATTCCATTTCCGCTTATTATATGTCCCAAAAATGCAAGTTCTGTTTTGCTAAATTCACATTTATCACGCCCTAGTTTTAACCCAGCTTTCCTCAATTGTTGAAAGATTTGTCGCAGGTGCTGGATGTGTTCTTCAAAAGTAACAGAGAAGATAATGATATCATCCAGATATACAGCTACAAACTTTCCAATTTCTTCTCGAAAGACTTTGTTCATTAATTGTTGGAAGGTTGCAAGTGCATTGGTTAATCCAAAGGGCATAACTTTGAATTCATAAAGTCCATAGCTGGTAATAAAAGCAGTTTTTGACTGATCTTCCAGGGTCATAGCAACTTGCCAATAATTACTTGCTAAATCAAGTGTTGTGAAATATTTAGCACATCCAAATATATCTAATAACTCGACTATTCGTGGGAGTGGATGACAATCTCTTTGGGTTAAGCTATTTAGTTTGCGATAATCAACACAAAACCTTAATTTTCCATTTTTCTTTCGCACCAGTACAACAGGTGATGCCCAGGGACTTTCAGATGGTTGAATTAAAACATTTTTCAACATTTTATTGATTTCTTTCTTAATAAAGTCTTGTTCAGGTGGAGCTACACGATAAGCTCTTTGTCTAACAGGAATTGATACTTTAATTGGTATATAATGGTTTTCAACCTTCGTATGCCCAAGTTGGGAGAGATTATCAGCAAATAAATTATCATTTTGCTTTAACAGTGTTGTTATTTGCTGTTGTTGTGGAATGGTCAAATTGGTCACAGTTGGTGTTGTTGTTTTCTCATCTGGTACATTAAAAAGTAGTTGTAAATGTTTATACTAGAGCTCCGAATCAGGTCAGGTCAACCTGTGACCCGACCCGACCCGACCTGAAAAATCCAGGTCAGGTAGAC